TTTTTTTCTGTTGGAAATTACTTTTTGTAATGTAAAGAGTCAAAAGACTACTTATTCATTAGTTGGAAAAGAATGAGGCTGTCAACATATAATTCGTGATTTCGTGATTAAAGTGGTAATACTTATTGTTCAAATAAAAAAGTCCACATTTGAGGTGATAAAGTGGATTTAAGTAACAAGATTCCACATAAGAAAAAATAAGTTGAAAGAGTGACTATATATATATAGGAGATTAATTGGTATAAGTTTATATTGTAAAAAATTAGATAGAAAAATACTTTAAGATAATGTCATTTTAATAAAAATATTACCAAAAAAAATTAAAATAACTTCATTCTTGTTTTAAAAATTAAAACATTTTAGTCTTTTTCAATTAAACTTTATTAAAATAACATAATTTTAAAATATTTTTCTACCTAATTTTTTACAATACATATTGATATTTAATTTTCCATATATATGTATGTGAGATCCATAAACCTAATTTAAATAGACATATCTTTTGCATTCTAGATGGCATCTCTAAAGAGGATCAAATCACAAAATGATTGATCCTATTATAAAAATAAAAATAAAAAAGAAAGAAGAGGATAAAACCATATAATGATTTATCCAAATGTAGAAGGAAGAAATATCATGCTATTATGAATATTGATTAATCAAGGAAAAATCAATTTATCAATTGACTAAATTCAAAGATTTGATATTGATTATAATCTCATTAATAGAAGATTTTTAATTAATTGTTATTTTTTTATATTATGTATTACTTACCTTATAAATAAAGTTACTCATATGTAAAAAAAGAATAAAGAAAAATAAATGTGCAAAACCTACAAAGACATTTGTACTATGGATTAGAAGGCATTGATGCATCATAACATCTCGGCACTATTTCAAATCATGTGATATTGTGTCTTCCTTTGTCTCACTTGTCTTTTATTTTATTCATGTTATTACTATATTACATTGAGATTTCTATGCATTAAAGATTTTCCCATTATATTAGAAACTTCTTCAGTCTCCTCCCAACAAGCAAAGTTTGGCTCAAAGTTGATATTTAATAACTAAAAGTCTTGATTTGAAATAATAAACAACTCACTCCCAAGGGGTTTTTTTTGTTTAAATGCCTTTCTTTGTTTGTTACCTAATGAACAAATTAACCGTATGTGTCCACAACGAAATGGGATTCAAGTTTAATTTTCCTTTCAAGATCACTTTTGGAATGTAAAGAGTGATAAAAAAGAATATTTATTAATTAGTTGGAAAAGAATAAGGCTATAATTAGAGTATATACAATAGGAACAATAAAAAAGTTCACTTTAAGACCACATCATTGTAATAATTATTATTTTATATAAATTTATATTTTTATATGTTTAATTTTTAAATAAAATATATAATTAAATATCACATCTCGAATACATACATTTAAACAAAACTTTTTTAAAAGTAATATAAATATTATTTTATTTAACTTACATTTAAATATTTTAATAAAAATGAAATAAAAAATTTTATTAAAAAAAAGAGAGAAATTCCAGCCATTGGATTGTTAATCCAACAGCTGGACACTTCTCTCTACGTCGCCTAACATCATGTCGGGCGGTGCAGAGGGCCCGACTCTTGTTTGAAAAATGCTCTAAGGGAATAAAATTAAACCTTCGTTCTCCTTTTGAAGAAAACATCCAACAGGACATGCGTTGTACATGCTCTATGTATGTAATGCCAATGTAAAGATAAATGTATGAAATGAAAAGAAAAACTATATATGTTTTGATAAAATTAAAAAGCAAATTAAAATTGTTTTCTTTTTCTTTCTTGGTATAGTTTTGTGTGAACACATATATAACATTATATCCTTCCTTCAGTATTGCTATTGCATCTATTTCATGGAATAGAAATGAAAGGTGAGACTTCTTATTTTTATTTTAATATTATTGTTTTTTTATGATCAATACCTTAATTTTCTCTCTCACTTTTTTATTTTGGACATCTAATTTTCTCTCTCACTTAACACTTTCGATAATTAAAAACATGCAAAAACCCAAAAATTAACTGGCAAATCACGTGCAAAGTACGTGCCTGTTGCGTTCCGTCAATTGCTTTGTTGTGAGGCACGATTGCACAGATATGCTTGCTAGAATCAAGCCTGAAAGATGGCTGACTGAGAGGTCAAGAGTTTCTAACAACCTCGAAGCTCCAATCTTCTCTGAAATTTCTCTTGTTAAATTGTTTAGAGATAAACTCATAGAAATCAAGTTGGAAATTTGTGTTATCTCCTCCAAGATCTCTCCTTCGAGATTATTTCTTGACAAGTCTATTAAGCTCACTAGAGCAAGTGGTTAATCAAAAATTCAAGCTTTTGTCCTTTAACGATAAGGTCCACAATCAAAAAGTGAATGTAATTGGATCCTAGAGCATACCAACCATTCACCAAGCTGCTTAGATTTACTAGAATGAAGGAATTTTTTTTTTTTTGAACAGAAAAAATAAATTTATTCTATTATTGAGGGTACAAGGGGTACTCCAACCCTTGCCCACATGTTCAACTCTCCAACCACTAGGTCTATAACAATCTCATTTCTGACATATTCTGCACCCCTAATTTATTGAAGTTTTACCAACAATGATATTTCTCTTACACTACATTAGGTTTGCCCCTTTGTTTTATACACTCCTTTGGCTCCAATAACCAATCTGTGAGGCTCACAAACTACCCCTCCTTATTTGCACTTAACAATTCAAAGGATCTGAGCTATATAGTCTCGAATATTTCTACAACATCGCATAGATTATCTTGGAACACAACCTTGTTTCTAGCTAACTATATTGACCATATAACAACAAACCAGATAACTTCCCATCCTTTCTTGTATCCTTATCAAGGAGTAAGCCATTATGTTGCTAGAAAGATTCCCAACAATTGCCTATGCCTACAGAAACCAAACCCCACCATCTCAAACACCTTGTCCAAACATCATTTGCTCTTTTGCAATGCAGTGATAGATGATGTGCAGTTTCAATCTCATATGAACATAGACCACACTTTGTCATATTGTAATCAGTTATCACCCTTCTTTCGAATAAATTAAACCTTGTTGGAATCTTGCCTTGCACTAATTGCCATGCAAAAGTGCACACCTTATTAGGGATTGAGGCATTCCATAATTTTTTGAAAGTCACTTTATCCTCTTTCTGTTGTTGCAATGATAAAAGCCTATAACCAATTTCGTTAAATATCTCCCTTCCATTGAAAGCTTCCATTCCCACTTCTTTGGTTAGGCCTATTATACCTATGATTTTGATGATTACAAAACACATTTGAGTGACTAATTTGTTAATTTAAGTGTGTAGTTGAACTTTCAAAAGATTGCAAAATTAAGTGAACTTGGACTACACTAAATTGGACCAAAAAACCTGTGAATTGTGCATAAAGCTAGCTCTAGAAATCTGCAATTGGCTTTGGTGAACAAAACTATGAAGAGCCGGCTTTAGAACCTATAGCCGACTTTACAAGTGAGTTTTAAACCTATAGTTTGGCACATGTGGAAAACAAACGCAAAGCCAACTTTAACTTTGCAGCCGACTATGATGGTGCATCTAATGCACAACGGTCAAATTATTTAAAGATACTTTAATCTTTTTAAAGTCAGATTTCCAAAGCTGGCTTTACGTTTTTGCAGCCAGCTCTTAAGAAAAACAGAATGTGCAAGAAGGCTACAAAGCAGGCTCTAGAGTTTAAAGCCAACTTTAAAAAGTCGGTTAAAGCCGGCTCTATTGACAAGTCTACAACTCAAACTTACTCGATCTACAGAGCATTTAATGACCCCCAAGAGCTAGAAATGACTATCTTCAACCAAGGGGCTATAAATATGGTTGGTAACAGATTTGGAATAAGTTTTAGAGCATTGTATTGAATATCTTTACTTACCAACTTATGCTTTACTTGAGTTTTTTTATCTTTGAGTGATCTTTGCTTGTAATCCTTTTCTTGTTCTACTTGTATGTTATCTTGGGAGTGTGATTATTCCTTCAAGAGTGATTTGTAAACAGGATTCTTGGGGTTTAACTTGTAAAGGGGTGAGATTTGAGAGAAACACCCTTCTTCTTGTAAAAGGATTAAGTGGCTCCTTTAAACCACTCTTGTTTTTCTTAGTGGAGAGTGTGGAGGAAATCCTTGGTAAGTGAAGCCAAGGTAGAAGACTAGGCTCCAAGTGATCAGACCAAACCTCTATAAAATTATTGTGCAAGCTCTTTTTCCCTACTCTCTCTTTAATTTTTGTTTGCTGGTTGCAAAGAGGTGAAAGTTTTCCAACTCCAATTCACCCCCCTCTTAGAGTGCATTAAGCCAACAATTGGTATCAGAGCAAGGACTCTAATTTGAAGGTTTAACTACCTAAGAGTTGATTGAGGATGGCTCAATTTCAAGCTTCTCAACCACTTGAAGGTTTGTCTACCATTAAGCCTCATTTCTTTGATGGTACTAATTATAATTATTAGAAGAATATGATGAAGGTCTTCATGCTTGCAAATAAGCCCAAGGCATGGATTGTGACTATGAAAGGTCCATATGTGCCTATGAAAGTTGTTGGAGAAAATGAGGTTCCAAAAAAAGAAGTTGAATGGAATGATTAAGACTTGGAGATCAAGATCAACAACAAAGCAATCAACATGCTTCAATGTGCTCTCAATCTAATGGAATTCAATAAAGTATTTGAGTGTGATACAGCTAAGGAGATATGGCACATGTTAGAGGTAAACACAAGAAGGAACAAACCAAGTGAAGGAGTCAAAAATCAATAGACTCATTCACATGTATGAGCTTTTCAAGATGAAACTGGAGGAGAGCATTAAAGAAACATTCACAAGATTTAGTGATATAGTCACCAATCTCAAGGCTCTTGGTAAAGTTTATCCCATTCAAGAATTGGTGAGGAAGATCCTTAAAAGCTTGCCTAAGGTTTAGGAAGTTAAGAAGACCACAATTGAAGAGGCTAAGAATCTCAACACTCTCAAGCTTGATGATCTCATTGGAAACTTGGAGACATATGAGATTGATATTAAAGTTGATGATGAAGTTGAAGTAGTTGAGAAGAAGAAAAATATTGCATTCAAGGCTAGCAATCAAACGGAAGAAAGTGAAGATGATGCTTGTGATGGTGAAGACATCTCCACCTTGATCTTTAAAGAAGTGAGAAGATTCATGAAGAAGAAGAACTTCAAGAGTAAACTTGTAAAAAGAGATGAATGAGAGTCTAGCAAAAAGAATGTGAAGTGCTATTAATGTAACAAGGTGGGGCATTATAGAAATGAATGCCCTCAATTGAAGAAGGGTGAGAAGAAAGACAAGAACAGCATGAAAAAGAAAACTTTTGCCATCACTTGGAGTGATGATGAGACTAGCTCAACGGAAAGTGAAAGCTCCTTGGAGAATGGTGTTGCAAATCTTTGCTTCATGGCTCAAGAAGATAGCTACAGTGATGAGGAGGTAAACTCTAACTTCTCTAATTCAATTAATGAGAGTTCCTTTGAGTATTTTTATGATGATTTCTGCAAAGTTCTTGATTGCTTTGTGAATGATATCAAGAAACTAGGGAATGAGAATCTTGCTTTTACTAAAACCATTTCATTGCTTAAAAATGAGATTGAATCTCTTTCAAAACAAAATAAGATTTTAGTTAAAGAAAATGCCTCCTTAATTGTTGAGATTGCATCTTTAAAGAATGAGGAATCTAGTAATGCTTTGAGAAAGGAAAATGAGAACTTGAAAAAGAAGGTTTGTGACCTTGAGAATGTGATTTCCAAATTTACCTTGAGTAAAGAAAATTTTGATTCTATCTTAAAAGCTCAAAGAAGTGTTTATGAAAAAGGGGGTATTGGATTTGATTATTCTAAAAAGCAAAAGACTTTTAAGAACTTCTTTATAAGGGGTTGTCAATTTTCTAATCCTAAAGTTACTTGCTATTATTGTGGTGAAAAGGGACATTTTGCCTATGCATGTCCTTTAAAGAGATTAATAACTCAAGGTAGAGTGAAGCAAATTTGGGTTCCAAAAAGAACTATAAGAACTAACCCCCAAAGACCCAAGCAAATTTGGGTACCTAAGATCAAAAATTGATTTTTGTTGTGTAGGTGTGCCTTGTGAGCAAAATGAAGAACAAATGGTATCTAGATAGTGGATGCTCAAGGCACATGATGGGTGATCCTTCACAATTCTCATCACTTATACCCTTGGATGGTGGAACCGTGACCTTTGGTGACAATGGGAAAGGAATTGTGAAAGGAATTGGTAAAATTGGTGACAAATCTATTTCTTTTGATGATAATATGTGGATGGATTGAAACACAACTTGCTTAGTATTAGTCAATTATGTGATCATATGCTTAGTGTTGTGTTTTCTAAATCTCATTGCAAGATTATTGATTTTAGAAATGATAAAGTGTTGTTTGTAGGCAAAAAGCTTAAAATTGTATATGTGATTGATTTGCATGACATAGATTCCAATATTTGTCTTGCTTCTATATCTCATGATGATACTTGGTTGTGGCATAAAAGATTAGGACATGATAGCATGAGTGTTATCTCTAAGTTATTAAAGCATGATCTTATTGATGGCTTGCCTAAGGTGAATGTGAATATTGATAATGCGTGATGCATGCATGAAGGGTAAGCAAACTAGAGTTTCCTTTAAGGCTAAGAAGTGCATATCTGCAAATAGACCTCTTGAGTTACTTCATATGGATTTCTTTGGACCTATGCGCATTCTAAGCATTGGAGGGAAATCATGTGTGCTTGTTGTGGTTGCTGACTATTCTAGATTTACATGGGTTGCTTTTCCTGCACATAAGAAAGATGCATTTGATGCTTTCAAAAGTCTTTATAAAAAGCTTCAAAATGAGAAAGGTTTACTAATTGTTTTTATTAGAATTGATCATGGGGGAGAGTTTGAAAATAATGACTTCAAAGATTTTTGCATTGAACATGGTATTGATCATAACTTTTCAACCCCTAGAACTCCTCAACAAAATGGGGTGGTTGAGCCAACAAATCATACCATTGAGGAAACGGCAAGAACTATGCTTTGTAAGAATGATTTGCCAAAATCCTTTTGAGTCAAAGCTATTGCAACCTCTTGTTATTTGTTGAATAGAGTTATGGTGAAACCTACTCTTAACGAAAACCCCTATGAGATTTACAGAGGAAGAAAACCCAAGATTTCCTACTTTAAAACTTTTGGTTACTAATGCTTTGTTTTGAATAATGGAAAGGACTCTCTTGGAAATTTTGATTTTAAAAGTGATGAAGGCATCTTTCTTGGATACTCTACTTCTAGTAAAACTTACCGAGTGTATAATAAACATACTATAGTTGTTGAGGAATCTATTCATGTAGTATTTGATGAGACTAACCATATTTTCTCTAGAAAGTCTTATGATAATGATGATGTAGATGCCACTGGATAACAAATGAAATATATGAACCTCAAAGAAGACAACACCAAGGAAGCTCAAAATGAAAAAAATAAGGAGGACAAACATGAAGAAGTGCAACAAACACATGAGCCAAAAGAACTAACTTTCCCAAAAAGGAGATCCTATTTCAAAGGTAATGATATCATTGGGGATCCATCGAAAGGGGTAACTACTAGATCTCATGCTCATAATACTTGTGCTTTTGTTGCTTTTATATCTCAAATTGAATGAAAGAATCTTGATGATAGTTTAAATGATCCTAATTGGGCAATGGTTGTGCAAGAGGAATTAGCTCAATTTGAAAGAAACAAGGTCTGGAATCTTGTTTCTAGACCTAAAGACCATCCCATCATAGGAACTAAATGGGCTTTTAGAAATAAGTTAGATGAGAATGGAGTTATGGTTAGAAACAAAGCAAGACTAGTTGCTAAAGGCTATTGTCAAGAGGAAGGAATTGATTTTGATGAGACTTTTGTTGTCATGCCCCAAAACCATAAGTGAAACAGACATTGTACACTTATGAAAGGATCCCACAAATGCACAAGGCTCGAAACTTGCTTAATTTACATCTAGCCATCCACTAAACTTAGATACAAATCTCAAGTACAATCTAGCTTTTATGACCAAGGTTTACTAGGCCAAGAGTGCACAATAATTAATACAACTCAATGTCCAAAAATAATTTAATTAGCGACCTAACTCCAAAATATAAGTGGCCAACCTTCTAGCTCATCACGCCCCTTGGTTTCCCACGTCCCGGGTCATGCTACCTCAAATGGTGGATGAGGAAAAAAAAACTAAGTGAGATAACTCAGTAAGTAAAATATGGGTAGCCTTTATTTAAAGTTAAAGCATGCCAAATAGCAATTAAAACACAAACAAAAGGAAAAATATCTTGGTTATAAACCATCAATGTAAAGTAAAACTCAATAGTGGTCTCCTCAATTAGTCATGGTTAGTGTTTAATAAACTCCCATTGACAGGTGTAAAGAATAACTAGTGTATCATCCCACTGGCAAGAATAACATGAACAAATATGTTTTTAAGAATACATGTCGAGATGTGCTAACATTTACAACTCCTATTGGCGAGCTTCAGAAATCATGACCATATTGGAGATTTAACCATGTAGAGTTAATAGGAAAGTCCATAATTTGTCTCCAATAATTTACAAATATGCAATAGTTAACAAGAAAAATTCATGGCTTACAAACCAATTTCAGACTTCCAGAACAAACAAATACACTCCATGTAGGCATGCTTAACTCAATAAAAATAATAATAACTTCATTTCAAATCAGCCATGCTCATGTGCTAATAAAATTCAGTTTAGATCATGCCACCATCTAAAAAATAGTTCAAAATATGCTTTTAAAACCTTTATCGTAAAATCCAAGGACATTTATCACAATTTTACTTACCTCGCCTTGTAGGCATACAACAAATTAGAATTTCAAGGATTCAAGATTGTTGGGGTGATTTAAAACATATATCACATCAAATGAATACTTAAAATATGCTTAAAATAGCTCCAAAAAGACATACAAAACAGCAGGTGTCCCAAATAGATTCTCTAAATAGAATAAGATGGAAAAATGTGAGAAATTGAGCTCAAAACCATCCTAAACACTAGCAGAAATATTGGGTAGCAAAGTGAGAGTTTCTACCATTTAAAGCAGCCCCAAAATGCTTAGAAAAAACTTGAACAATAGGAATTTTTTGGGCAAAAAACAGCAGCAAAACAAGGCAGATTACAAGCCAAAACTTGGCTAAAATGGATAGCATTTAAATAGAAAAGCAGCAGCAAAAAGGCAACCAAAATAAAGCAATAACAAGGGGTTTTAGAGTAAGGAAACAACAGCTAAAAGTCTACTAAAACCATGATACCAGATGGCAACAAATAATGTGGGAATTGAGCACAAAACAAAACAAATTTTTGGGAAAGTTCTAGTTAGATTTTTAACTAGAAGTTCTAATAGAATTTGCACCTAGAAATTGACCAATCTAGGCTAAATGATTAACAAATAACTTGTACCCTATGTCTTAGCGTTCTATAGGATTAAGAATCACCTTAATTCGACATCTATAGAGAAAGTTATGGTCAAAATAGTAACAAAAGGTTAAGCTACCAGTTCTATCTACCCACAAGAACCAAACTTGCAGCAAAGTTTTCACCTTGAAAATAGCTTAATTGGGTTAAACGTCCAACATAAAAATGTAAGGCTATCTCTTAACTTTCCATAGAATTAAGAATGAACTCAATCCAATAACTACAAAAAGAGTTATAGGCAAAACACTACTGCAAAATCATGCTATCAAAATTTTTAGCAAAAGGGATTAGATCTAGTGACACTAGGGGAAAACCAAGGAGGAAACTACAAAAAGAAATCCCAAATTGAAAACCCTAAAGGATTAAAGTTCACATAATTCAAATTAAAAATAAAAAGATGAGCAATAAGGCTGATTTCTTATCAAAAAGTTGTAGAAGGAGCATCAACTAGGCATTCAAATCACGAACAAGGAAAGAAGAATAGAAGGTAGTGATCTTGATGAGAGAAGTAGCATCAGAGAGAGATTAGGAGGTTGATGGCTTCAAGGGTTTTGAGTTTAGAATGAAAGAGGAGAGGAAAACCAAAAAAAGAAGAAGAAGACAACTCGAAAAAGGAAATTAAGTTTTCCTTCCCCTTAAATGTGTTTGTGCTCCCCTCTCTCTTTTTTTTTTTTATTTTTTTTAATTTTTTTGCTAACATCCCCCCCAAGATTGAAAATTTAGACAACTTGGTCCCCTATTAAAATCCATTTTTATATTAGTCATCTCATACCTAATTTAATTAATTAATTACTCCACATGAGTGCTAAAAATTTAGGGTATTACATTTGCCATGGTAGCTAAACTTGAAGCAATTAGAATGTTATTAGCCTTCACATGTTTTAAAGGTTTTACACTTTACCAAATGAATGTTAAAAGTGCTTTTCTAAATGGTTATATTCAAGAAGAGGTTTATGTTGGGCAACCTCCTAGTTTTAAAGATCCATTTCATCCAAACCATGTTTATAAACTTTCAAAAGCTTTATATGGCTTAAAACAAGTTCCTAGAGCTTGGTATGAAAGATTAAGTAGTTTTTTGCTTGCAAATGGTTTTTCTAGAGGAAGAGTTGATACCACCTTGTTTGTGAAAAATAAAAACTAAGATATACTAATTGTTCAAATCTATGTCGATTATATTATGTTTGGTGCTACTAATGATTTTCTTTGTCAAGAGTTTTCCAAAGCTATGCAAGGTGAATTTGAAATGAGCATAATGGGTGAGCTTAACTTCTTTGGACTTCAAATCAAACAATCCAAAGAATGTATCTTCATCAACCAAAGCAAATATACAAAGGAAATGCTTAAGAAGTTTGGCATAGAGCTTTGAAAGCCAATAGCTACTTCAATGAGCACTTCAATTAACCTTGACAAGGATGAAGGAGGTAAGCTTATTGATCCCAAACTTTATAGAAGTATGATTGGTTCCTTACTTTATTTAACTACAAGTAGATTGGATATAATGTTTAGTGTTTGTTTGTGTGCGAGATTTCAAGCTTATCCTAAAGAATCACACTTAGTTGCAATTAAAAAAGTCTTTGGGTACCTAAAGGATACTCCCAACCTTGGTTTATAGTATCCTAAAGGTTCTTTCTTAGACTTACATTCATATTCAGATGCAGACTATACGGGTTGTAAGATTGATAGAAAAAGTATAAGTGGAACTTGTCAATTTTTTGGTAAGACGCTCATATCATGGTCTTTCAAAAAGCACAAAAAGCACAATGTGTTGCTCTGTCCACAACCAAGGCCGAATACATAGCCACTGCAAGTTGTTACACTCAAGTGTTGTGGATGAAACAACAAATTTTGGATTTTGGCATTACCATGGATCATATTCCCATTAAATGTGATCATACTAGTGTTATCAAGCTCACTAAAAATCCCATCCAACATTCTCGCACAAAGCACATAGAAATTAAGCACCATTTTATTAGAGATCATGTTGCAAATGGTGATGTTGATTTGTTGTTTGTTGATACTATAAATCAATTAGCTTATATATTTAC